CCCCATTTTCTGTGGCCGTTTGCGGTGAGGTACGCGGCGCATCAGATCAACCTCCACCCCAGGGTCTCCAGGCCGGAGACCTCCCCAGCCTTGCTGTGGACCGGGAAGGTTGGCGATGCGTCGGCGTTCCGGGTCTGGGGATCTCGGGCGTTTGTCCGCGACCTGTCTGCGGACAAACTATCCCCTCGTGCTGCTCCTTGCGTCTTCCTGGGGTTCCCCCCTGACGCGCCTGGGTGGCAGTTTTACCACCCCACCTCTCGCCGTGTTCTGTCCTCCCAGGACGTCACGTTTGACGAGTCGGTCCCCTACTACCGCCTCTTCCCCTACCGCACTCCGTCCCTCCCCCCACCCCCACTCTTCCTGGTACCAGGTCCCCCCCAGGTAGACCCCCTCCCCCCTCAGGGTCCTGCCCCTTCAGGTGTGTCCCAGGTAGACGCAGTCGAGCCTGTCGAGTTCACTGGTGACTCTGGTGCTGCTGAGGGTGCTGAGGCTGGGGGTGCTGTACCTGGGGGTGCGGAGCCTAGGGGTGCTGGGCCTGGGAGTGCTACGTCTGGGGGTGCTGAGCCTAGGGGTGCTGAGCCTAGGGGTGCTGAGCCTGGGGGTGCTGAGCCTAGGGGTGCTGAGCCTGGGGGTGCTGAGCCTGGGGGTGCTGAGCCTGGGGGTGCTGAGCCTAGGGGTGCTGAGCCTGGGGGTGCTGAGCCTAGGGGTGCTACGTCTGGGGGTGCTGAGCCTAGGGGTGCTACGCCTGGGGGTGCTGAGCCTGGAGGTGCTCCGCCTGGAGGTTCTCCGAGTGCTTCGTCTCGCCGGGAGCCACTTTCGCCACAGGAGCTGCGTGAGTGGTTTGCCCGGCGCTGGAGGCGTGCTGCTGGTGCTGGAGGTCCTTCGGCTGCTGAGGGTGCTGCGGTCGCGGGTCCCGGAGGTGCTCGTCCTGGGTGCACTGGAGCTGGTGCTGCTGAGGGTGTTGGCGCTGAGACTACCGCTGGCAGTCCTACTGGGGGTGCTCCTGGTGCTGCTGGAGGTTCTGGAGCTACTGGTGGTGCTGCTGGAGCGGGTGCTCCTGCTGAGGGTTCTGGTGCTGTCCCTGCTGCTTCTAGCGTCGCCGCGCGGCCTCGACCGTACTTCGTTCCACTCCTGCAGCAGGTTCTTGGTCTTCCACCTTCTACTGGTCCTCCTCCTCCCTTAGAGTGTCCACAGCCTGTCTCGTCCCAGCTACAGTTGCAGCCTACCTCCCCTTTGCCTGCTCCTTCTCCCTACACTGGTCCTACTGGAGGTCTGGCTGAGCGTCGTGAGCCTGCGTCTCGCCCTGCGTCGCCTGTCCGTGCTGCTCGCACTAGTGGTCGCGGTTCGCGTCAGCGTCCTCCTCCTGTCCCTGGCACGCACCGGATGTCTCTGCGTCCGTCCACTGCTCCTCTGCGTGCCCCTTTGCCTTCTCCTCCTGAGTCCTCTCTTCCTGCTCTTGCCGACCCGGAGTCGGACTCTCTTCGTGCTGCCAGTCCTACTGTCACGCGTCTCCTTGCTACTGTTGTCACTGACCCTTCTTTCGAGTCTACTGCTGCGTCTGCTCTCGTTACTGAGCTCGTCGACTTTGCTGCTCGCTGTCGCTTAGACTACGCTGCTAGTCTTGTCGCTGAGTCTGAGTCTGTCTGTCCTCCGTCCGTCGGGGGTGAGTGTGCCCTTGGCACGGACGTCCTTGAGGACAGGCAGGAGGAGTTCCAGTGTCTGGCAGCTGCCTCACCTCATCTCGTGTCCGTACTGCTTACCCCTGAGGGAGACCCGGATGCACTTGACATCCCGACTCCGCGCTCTTACGCGGAGGCGATAGAGGGTCCCTACTCCTCTCAGTGGCAGGCAGCTATGGATGCAGAGATGGCTTCCTGGAAGTCCACAGGCACCTACGTTGACGCTGTCCCCCCTCCTGGGGCGAACATCGTCAGTGGCATGTGGATCTTCAGGGTGAAGCGGCCGCCGGGTTCTCCGCCTGTCTTCAAGGCGCGTTACGTGGCTCGTGGCTTCAGTCAGCGGCAGGGAGTTGACTACTTTCAGACCTTCTCCCCCACCCCGAAGATGACCACTCTTCGGGTACTGCTGCACGTTGCTGCTCACCGTGACTACGAGCTGCACTCTCTTGACTTCAGCACAGCTTTCTTGCAGGGCAGCCTGCACGAGGAGATCTGGCTGCGTCGCCCACCTGGCTTCACTGGGTCTTTCCCTCCTGGTACCCAGTGGAGTCTCCGGCGTCCAGTCTACGGTCTCCGCCAGGCGCCACGTGAGTGGCACGACACACTGAGGACTACGCTTGCGGCTCTTGGGTTTGCTCCTTCTACTGCCGACCCGTCGCTGTTTCTACGCACCGACACCTCTCTGCCGCCGTTCTACATCCTCGTGTACGTCGACGACTTGGTCTTTGCCACAGCTGACACTGCTGGACTTGCCTACGTGAAGTCCGAGCTGCAGAAGAGACACACGTGCACAGACCTGGGTGAACTGCGCAGCTACCTTGGCTTGCAGATCACCCGGGACAGAGCACGCCGCACCATTACCCTGACTCAGTCACACATGGTGCAGCAGGTCCTTTAGCGCTTCGGCTTCACGTACTCCTCGCCTCAGGCCACTCCTCTGTCTACTCGCCACTCGCTCTCAGCTCTGCCTTCGGATGAGTCCGTAGAGTCGAGTGGCCCGTACCCAGAGCTTGTTGGCTGCCTCATGTACCTGATGACCTGCACACGACCTGACCTTGCATACCCTCTTAGCATTCTTGCACGCTATGTTGCTCCTGGGAGACACAGACCAGAGCACATGGCTGCAGCGAAGAGGGTGTTGCGCTACTTGTGCAGTACGTCGGGCATGGGGCTAGTGCTTGGAGGGCGGAGTCCAGTGGTCCTCACTGGGCACGCGGACGCTTCTTGGGCTGACGACCAGGCTACGCAGCGGTCGTCACAGGGTTACACCTTCAGCCTTGGTTCCGGCTCTGTTTCGTGGCGGGCTACTCGCTCGTCTTCTGTTCTTGGCTCGAGTTGTGAGGCTGAGATCTACGCCGGGGCCATGGCTGCACAGGAGCTTCGCTGGCTCACCTACCTGCTGACCGACCTTGGAGAGCCGCCTCGTTCTCCTCCAGTCCTGTACGTAGACAACAAGGCCATGCTGGCCTTGTGTCGAGAGCAGCGACTGGAGCACAGAACAAAGCACATTGCTCTCCGCTACTTCCTTGCTCGTGAGCTACAGCAACGTGGACAGTTGCGGCTTGCGTACGTGGCCTCTGAGGCCAACACTGCTGATGTCTTCACCAAGGCACTTCCGCCTTGTGATCATCAGCGCTTCTGCACTCAGCTGGGTCTTGTGCCCGTCTTGCCTCACTTGCTCTCCTCTTGACCTTGCTTGTACTCTCACATATATATATACCTGCTCTTGCTTGTCTAGCTTTATATATATGTGTGTACTCTTGCATGTGAACTGGCCGTGTGGCCTTGACCCTGTGCTCGGACTGTGTGGTGACTTTGTGATCCACCCTGAGCTTTCCTTTGCTTTGCTTTGCTTGACTGGTCTTGTGACCCCTTGTTCTCCCCCACTTTGCCTATGGGGGTGTGTCAGAACATTGTAGCTTATGCTGTTATGTAGGCTATAGTGGGGTATCCCATAGGGGGTACAACCAATTAGGGTTTCATATTTGTACTCACTTCATTTCATAGTTCATCCATTCTCGTTCTCATTCTCACATAAGCTATTCTCGCAGTGTGTATAAAAAAGTGGGAGCGCCGAGGTCAGATCAAGCAGCAGAAGGCTCATTTGAAGTTGAGAAAATGCTAGGCAGCCTGATTTGAGCTTTTCTGTGTTGCGGATGGGCTGTGGGTGGGGGTTCGCAGTCGTAATCCAGTGAGCGAGTGAGTGATCGGCGCGGCAGGTGGTTGACTAATTTCGGCTTACCAGAGATGCCGCCATCCTAGGAGCCCATACCAGCGACGTTGGCGGCACTCCATATGAACCTAACGCTGCCATTCGTGTGAACCACATTCGGCGCAGACTGTACTGTACGCCAGGTGTCAGCGCCAGCTGGCATCGCAAGCGAGCTTCCACTCGCGGGCAAACAAAAAGGTCAAACCTGTTCGGACGGGATCCCTTCGGGAGGCATCAACTTTAGTACTGTACAGTAAACGCCTTGCCGTAAGGTGCGCTGAAGTTATTCCCCAACTCGCGGTGATGAAGAACGCAGTAAAACGCCAACGTCATCTAGCGCTGCCTGTGGGCAAAGCAAAGAAACCTTTACGCGTGGCAAACGCCCTTTGCGAGGCATCCCTAAACAACTAAGGTACAAAGGACGAATCGGTGGTGACGAAGGACGACATAGGGCGGCAACGTAGCGGTGGCCTTTGTCCGCAAATGAAGAATGTACTACTTTGGTGCCCCCGTGAAATAGCAACGTTGACATTTGTTGTGTTTGGGTGAGGGCGGGTCAGACCTGATTCGTTTTCAGTTCGCGCATCACTGTTCAGATTGGTGGGTATTGGTTCAGAGCGGTGAAAATCACATACCGCCCTAGAATGCACAGCATTGCACACCACCGCTTCTATTGAACCGAGATCGAGCTACCAAGTCTGATCTGCCCTAACCATTTCACGGTGCATCACAAAGTAGGTTGACACGTCGCGATTGACAACGTGCGCGACCTTGTTACACACGATGCGCTGAAACTCTGGTTCGCCCATATTCTGAACTGTTCCGAGTTATCAAAATGTTCGCCCTAAGAATAATGCCCTATGTTCGCCCTATAACGACAAAGCAGCCGTAGAACTTAGCAATTCAATAACCACAGACTAATGTTAATGCTGAAGACATTTATAACGCAACACGACTGTCCCCACCAAGTTGCCTGCCCAATCGCCCAGAGCAGTCAAGACCAATTCGTTTCGCGCCTAAAATTGATATCTTCCAATGCAAGCCACTCAAATGACATACCTGGCTGTCAAGGCTGACGTATTCTAGCATGCTGACGTGGAGCGCATTCCATGGCTGTCCCGCTTTCTACCCTCACATTCCTATGCCTCTCGCTCAACCTCACAGTCTGCCACGTCTACAAGGCCTCGCTGGCCACGTGTACAGCCAGTGACACATCAGCAACGCACACCTGTCCCTGTCCCCCATGGACGGCTGTAGTAAGCGCCACGTGGCCGCGGAGCGAAGACAGCGCCGCCGCGTGCAGCCAGAGGCTACTCGTCCGCGCAGCCTCTGCCATCTCCGCCACTGCGCGCGACATTGCGCGGGAAGGGGGCGGTAGCAGGTGCGCGAGTGCTGTAGCGCGTGCCATTGCGCGGGAGAGGGGGAGTAGCAGGTGCGCGTGTGACACTTTTAGCGCGCGCACAGGGCGTCACAGAGATGCGCATGTTCGCATGGCGCATGGTATCTTTGCGATGCTTCTGAGATGCTTCTGAAGGCTCTGAGCCTGTGGAATTGAGCGCTCGAATCTACGCGTCTTCCCCGCCGACACACCCTCCCCCCTCCCTTTCAGCCTCCCCCTCTCCCCGTCCCCACTTCCTCCCCCATTCCCCCACCCCTCCCCCCTGCCCCATTCCCCCCTCTTCCCGCCGCCCCCGCACCTCTCTATCCAAACATCTTTCCCATTCAACCTGTGCTGTCGCACCGCCAGCTGGCTGCCTCTGATTGGCCGAGAACCGTCGTTTCTGTCGGAGCGGTGGAGCGAGCAGCTGCTGCAGGGCAGCCCGTGGCGTGCCACGTGTCCCTCGCCCTTCCTCAGATCGGGTGAGCGGGGGGAGAAGGGAAGGGAGAGAAACGGGTGGGAATTGTGGGAGCGGGTGCGGGAGGGTGGACGAGAGAATGACGGAGGAGAAGGGCGGACAGGAGGGACGTTAGCAGGGGTGGGAATGTTGTGCTGCTATCAGATGGGGTGAGGTTGGGAGGTCGCATTGCATGGCATTGATCGCATGGCATTGATCGCATGGCATTGATGGCATGGCATTGATCGCATGGCATTGATCGCATGGCACTGATCGCATGGCACTGATCGCATGGCATTGATTGCATGGCATTGATCGCATGGCATTGATCACTTGGGGGCTGTACTGATTCCCGTCTGCACGGCATGGCATCCTTTCATTCCCTTCTCCCTCGCACTTACTCTCCCTCTCCTCCGTCTCCCTCATTTCCCCGCTCTCCCTCTTCCTCTTTCTCCCTCCCCTCCCCCCCCCCACCCCATATCCCTATCAGGTGTCTCTCTCCGCCTGCTGCCTTCCCCCAGCCTCCCCGTGCAAGGGGAAGGGGCGCAGCGCGGGGGCAGCTGGGAGGGGGGAGCGGCGTGCGCGGAGGGGGGAGTGCTTTGGGGAGGGGAGGCAGCTGAGGAGATATGTGTGATTGTATTGAGGGGTGAAAGAGGGAGAGGGCGGAGGGGTGGAGAGGGAAGGAGGGGGCGATGGGAAAGTGATGAAGCTTGGAGGGATGGAGCAGCAGAGGGGATGGGTGAGGGTGTGGGTGGGGGAAGAGAAGTAGAGAAGACCGAACAGAGCACTTTGGACCTTTCAAGGCAAGAGAGAGGGGAGGAACGGAGGAAAGAGCGAGTGGAGGAGCGTGTGAGAGTGAAAGGGAAGGGAGGGAAGGAGAAGAAGGCAGGGAAAAAAGGAAAGGAGAAGAAGGAAGAGAAGAAGAAGAAGAAACGGAGTGAAGAGAAGGAGAAGAAGGAAAGGAAAAGAGGGAAGGAATTAAAGGAAGGGAGTGGAGGGAAGGAGAAGAGAGAGAAGGAAGAAACAGCAGGGAAGGAAGGGAAGGAAAGGAAGGAAGGGGAGGAAAGGAAGGGAGGGAAGGAAGGGAAAGACAAGAGGGAAGGGAAGGAAGGGAAGGAAAGGAAGGAAGGGGAGGAAAGGAAGGAAGGGGAGGAAAGGAAGGAAGGGAAGGAAGGGAAAGACAAGAGGGAAGGGAAGGAAGGGAAGGAGAAGAAAAGAGGGAAAGAAGGAATTCCAACGCAAGGAAGGTCAAGAGGCAGCAGCAAGGCAGCACCTTCTGACGATGACCCTCATGCTCTCATAAAGCTGGTATGTTTATCGACTCCCTCATGTGCCTGCCTTTGCTCGTGCACTTCCTCTTCTCCTCTGCTGATATGCACAGCAAAGGCGGGCTGATGTGATGTGAGGATGCACCACGATCGCATGCCTTCCTGCTTCCTATCTTCAACGCGGTGCCATGCTGCTTCGTCAAAGGAGCTTTACTGTGGCTCGTCTGCAACCCATTCTCATCGTCTGCAACCCATTCTCATCGTCTGCAACCCATTCTCATCGTCTGCAACCCATTCTCATCGTCTGCAACCCATTCTCATCGTCTGCAACCCATTCTCATCGCCTGCAACCCATTCTCATCGCCTGCAACCCATTCTCATCGCCTGCAACCCATTCTCGTCGCCTGCAACCCATTCTCATCGCCTGCAACCCATTCTCATCGCCTGCAACCCTTCAAGCTGCTTTGACAGAGTCAAATCCTTTCACTTCCGTTCCTTGCCCAACCCCCCCAATCAGGGCGAGTCTCAGATGGTGTCCAATCAGATCCAAGCGGCACTGGACTCATTCAGCCGGGCCGTTGCTCTGATACCAAACGATGCGGAGGCGTGGCGGCTGCAGGGGTGGGGGCACAAGGAGGCCGGCAACTGGCGCGAGGCAGAGGCCAGCTTCAGTAGGAGCGTTCAGCTGAATGAGAGGTGCGGCCGTTGCATTGTGAGGCGTCTTGGAAATACATGTTTCAGAACCTGTGGCGGCTGCAGGGGTGGGGGCACAAGGAGGCCGGCAACAGGCGCGAGGCAGAGGCGAGCTTCAGTAGGAGCGTTCAGCTGAATGAGAGGTGCGGCCGTTGCATTGTGAGGCGTCTTGGAAATACATGTTTCAGAACCTGTGGCGGCTGCAGGGGTGGGGGCACAAGGAGGCCGGCAACAGGCGCGAGGCAGAGGCGAGCTTCAGTAGGAGCGTTCAGCTGAATGAGAGGTGCGCCTGTTGAGAGTGCTAGGTGTTGATGCTATGTGTGATGCATGCGTGTGTGTATGCATGCATGCGTGTGAAAGCATGAAGTGACAGATGAAACGGGTTTTTGTTCGCCCCCGTCTGCCTCTCTTTGTCATTGTTCCTTCCGCAGGCTCAGCCCTCATCAGTCCTCCGCCGTTTCGTTAGTTTTCCGTATCACTCTAATGAAACCCTTCCATCTATCTCTCCATCTCGTTCCCCTCGCCTCCCTGCTGCTGTTTCCTTGCAGTTTCCTTCCTGCACTGATCATGTGGGTGGAGCTGAGGCATGTAGCAGGAGACCACAGGTGCGGTCAGATAGGAAGGAAGGAGTTAGAGGGGAGAAGAGGGAGGTTTGGGGGGTGATTTTGATGAGCCTCGAAAGTTGATCTTGTGGGTGGAGCTGAGGCACGTGGCAGGCGACCACAGGTGCGGATAGGAAGGCAGGGGGAAATGAGGATGTGGTGTGGGGGGGCAGGAGGGGGGGGGGGGGGATGAAGGGGGAGTGAGCCTCTGTGAGGCTCCTCAAAGCTTGATCAACTGGGTGGAGCTGAGGCATGTGGCAGGCGACCACAGGTGCGGACAGGAACGGGGGGCGGAAGAGGGATGAAAGGGACGAGGCAGGTGTTTTGAGATGGGGTTGGTTGCCACATGCCTCAAAAGTTGAGCATGTGGGTGGAGCTGAAGCACGTCGCAGGCGACCACAGGTGCGGATAGAAAGGAAGGGAGTGGGGAGGAGGGAGGAGGGGGAAGAAGGAAAGACGGACGGGCGACGAGGAAAGAGAGGGGAACTGGAAAGAAGTGGGATGGGGAAATATAGAGGGTTGAGAGAGGGGCGTCTTTTGAGGCGCCTCGAAAGTTTATTGATTGGGTGAAGCTGAGGTGAGGTGGGGCATCCAGCAAGCAGCCAAAAAGTTCCTTGTCAGACAGGGATCTGCCTCTCTAAGAAATTCCTTCAATCTCCCCACTTGCTCGCTCCCCCAATCCCCACCTGCCACTCTCACAACAGCTCTGTGAAGAGCTGTCTTCGCCTTGTCGCTTGACCATATGTTCTCAAATCAACCACCTCGCCGCCCCTCTCTGTCGTTCCCGGACTCCTACATCCCTCAGGGGCGCGTTGCAGCTGCTGGAGAGGGCACTGCAGCGACACCCGGCAAGCGTGCAGCTCAGATGCCTTGAGGCCTCCTGCCACCACGCTCTTGGGAACGAACTGTCCTCCCGTTGTAGTCTATCCTCTATGTTCTCAACTCAAACCCCTCACCATCTCTCTTTCTATTCCGGGCACCCTCAATCCCTCAGGGGCGCGTTGCAGCTGCTGGAGGCGGCACTGCAGCACCACCCGGCAAGCGTGCAGCTCAGATACCTCGAGGCCTCCTGCCACCACGCTGTTGGCAACTTTGTTCAAAGCGTAAGCCCTGATGGCACTATAAGCCCTGCTGGCACTGTAAGCCCTGATGGCACTATAAGCCCTGCTGGCACTGTAAGCCCTGCTGGCACTGTAAGCCCTGCTGGCACTGTAAGCCCTGCTGGCACTGTAAGCCCTGCTGGCACTGTAAGCCCTGCTGGCACTGTAAGCCCTGCTGGCACTGTAAGCCCTGACGGCACTATAAGCCCTGCTGGCACTGTAAGCCCTGACGGCACTATAAGCCCTGCTGGCACTATAAGCCCTGCTGGCACTGTAAGCCCTGCTGGCACTGTAAGCCCTGCTGGCACTATAAGCCCTGCTGGCACTGTAAGCCCTGCTGGCACTGTAAGCCCTGCTGGCACTATAAGCCCTGCTGGCACTATAAGCCCTGCTGGCACTGTAAGCCCTGCTGGCACTATAAGCCCTGCTGGTACTGTAAACCCTGCTGGCACTGTAAGCCCTGCTGGCACTGTAAGCCATGCTGGCACTGTAAGCCCTGCTGGCACTGTAAGCCCTGCTGGCACTGTAAGCCCTGCTGGCACTGTAAGCCCTGCTGGCACTGTAAGCCCTGCTGGCACTATAAGCCCTGCTGGCACTGTAAGCCCTGCTGGCACTGTAAGCCCTGCTGGCACTGTAAGCCCTGCTGGCACTGTAAGCCCTGCTGGCACTGTAAGCCCTGCTTACACTGTAGTGAATACCACCACGCCTGCTGTTGGTACGATTCATGTGGAGCCATTCCCTTTGCACTTTTCCTCGTGCGAGTATCTTTCCTCTCTCTTGTAGCACAAGTCCTCTCGCTGCTTTCGATACTCGTAAGAATATAATTCTTCCTCCGTGCTTTCCTTCTCTTGCAAGGTCACTCGCTACAAGCTACTTCTCTCTAGAATCACAGTAAGACACACAGAGATTCGATTCTTGCCGTTTGCCTTGTGTTGTGCAGATCACCCTATACAACAACTTGCTTTCTCTCTCGCCGCAGCAGCACGAGCAGGCTTTTGTCTTCCTCGCCTTCTTCCAAGTGAGCCCGCAGCCACAGCCCTCGTTCTTCCGTACGGCCCTCGTTTTAAGCAGCTGCTAGGGTGTTCTCATCTGCGCTAGAGTGCAGCTTGTTGCGTGGTGGTGATGCTGTGATTGAGGAGGCTTTTGTGAAGACTGGAGCATGGCTGGATGGTACCACTGTGGCACATCCTCTTGTTCATCCTTGCCTCTCCTTCCCTCTGCTGCCTATCCTTGCCTCTGCTGCCTATCCTTGCCTCTGCTGCCTCTCCTTCCCCCTGCTGCCTCTCCTTGCCTCTTCCTTGCATATGGTAACAGAGGGAGGTGGCAACGCACATGGCAATGGTCATCAACGACCCCTTCCCTGACTTTAGCATCAACGACCTTTTCAGCAGCGTCTTCAAGGTGAGGCAACAAGCACTGCTGTAACGCCTTCAGCTTCTCCCCTTTGAGTGCTTACATGCTGCGCCGGTGTGATGTGATTCATGTGCTGCACTCATTCCTTCTGAGGCTTTTCACAACTGTGATGTGATTCGTGACTAACACACTCATTCCCAGTGCTGCTTTCAATCATCAAACAAGCGTCCTTCTCCTTCCCCCCCCTCTCTCCCTTCTCTCCCTTCTCTCCCTCGGCAGGAGGGGTGGGCGCGTACGTTCCACCCAGCACAAGTGGTGCAGAGAGGCTATGCCATGCTCGCGGATTCCCACGCCCTCCTCTCCTCCCTGCAGCGCCGCCAGCTGCTTCTCGTGCAGCGAGCTGAGGAGGAGGAGCGAGAAGAGGAAGAGAGGAAGAGGAAAGAGAGGAGGGCAGGGAGGAGGAAGGGGGTCGGAGCAGGGGTTTCCTTGGCTGATAGGAAGAGGGAGCTGCTGA